CACCCACACCCACACCCACACCCACACCCACACCCACACCCACACACCCACATCCACGCGCCCACACCTATTGCTCAGTTGTGTCGCTCTTTTGTTTTACGTATCTCTATATAGCACTCGCGCTACATCACTCAGTCACGTAAAAGACGAGAAGATAAATATATATACATAGAGGAGTGGTCAATAGTTCACACAAACAGGAGAAAAGCTAAAATATATGAGAAAAGACGGTGCTGATGGACCATCAGCACATCGAACACTTAAGAGCTGTTGCAAATACGGGAGTTATACACCAAAAGTAAGAAAGCAGATAGAAGTGGATGTGAGGTTCATAGTGTTATCCGGTATGCCAAGTGTGACCTTAGATGTAACAAGTTCGCTTCAGAGACTAATGCTTTTCAAGTATACCAAGGAAATATCGACCCAATTACCCACGTCGACATCCATTGGAACATATGCGGGTAAAATCTCGCTCTAAGGACTACCTGCCTAGTGAATTACTGCAAACATCCTTTGAAATAACCTTTTCAACGAAGTTCTACACCTTTTTATATTTTCAATCTCACTGCAATATTCTTCTACACGTGTTTATTTATATCTTGGTTAGACAAACCCGTACATGCTACATACCGTCAGAGACAACACCTACGTATATTCCAGTCTCGGCGCATACCGACCTAAGGGTCCACCCGAAGAGCGCCGAGTGCCCGCCTTTGCCTTGATAATGTCGACATAGATCCACCATCTGTACATTCGGAGGGAACCCACACAGCTTTATATTAGTCTCGGCACGTGGTGGCCCGAAGGGCTACCCGAAGAGCGCCGAGTGGCCGCCTTTGCCCTGATAATGTCTACACAGATACACCATCGGTACAATCGGAGGAAAACCACACACCTTTATCTCAGTCTCGGCGCGTGGTGGTCCGAAGGGGCACGCGAAGAACGTAGAGTGGCCGCCTTTGCTTTGATAATGTTGACAAAAATCCACCATGTGTACAATCAGAGGGAACTCACATACCTTTATCTCAGTCTCGGCGCGTGGTGGCCCGAATGGCCACCCGACGATCGCAGAGTGGCCGCCTTTGCTTTGATAATGTCGACACAAATCCTTAGTTCAATTATAAATTTGAATTCGAATAAAAATTTATCGTTTGCTGAAGCTATGAAAAAGGGGGTGTGCGCCCTAAATTTTCATTTATATTCGAACTCGAATTAGGCAGCTACTCTGCAAGAAGGACGTGGGTGTGGATATGATTGTGGGGTGTGCGGGGAATGTGGGTGGTGTGGCAGTGGAGATGGGTGGGTGTGGATGTGCATGTGCATGTCTATACCAGTGTCATCATTCTATTCAGTCACACCCACACCCACACCCACCCGCACCCACACCCACACCCACACACCACACACCCACACCCACACACCACACACCACACACCCACACCCACACACCACACACCCACAGCCACACGCACACCCC